CCCTAGACGCAAAAATTGGCCCATTCCCTTCGTAAAACGTACATTTTTCACAAAGTTGCCTTTTGGGCTTTCCGACATTGCAGGACGGCCCAAGAGGCGCCCAAGACCGCCCCAAGACGGCCCAAGAAGCTCCCAAGAGTGCCCCAGGACAGCCCAAGAGGGCCCCAAACGGCCCAAGAGGCGCCCAAGATGGCCCAAGAGGGCCCCAAGACGGGCTCAAGAGGGGGCCCAGAGGGGGACCACGAACCGCAAGCTCGAGCCTTCCGCCCCAAGAGGCCGCCAGGAGGCCCCCAGGAGGCCCCTCAAGAGGCCCCAGGAGACCCCAGACGTCCAAGGACGCCCCCAAGAGGCCCCAAGAAGCCTCCAACATGCGTCCCAAGAGGGCCCCTAGACGCAAGAATTGGCCCATTCCCTTCGTAAAACGTACATTTTTAACAAAGTCGCCTTTTGGGCTTTCCGACGTTACAGGACGGCCCAAGAGGCGCCCAAGACCGCCCCAAGACCGCCCAAGAAGCTTCCCAGAGGGCCCCAGGACAGCCCAAGAGGGCCCCAAGACGGCCCAAGAGGCGCCCAAGATGGCCCAAGAGGGCCCCAAGACGGGCCCAAGAGGGGGCCCAGAGGGGGACCACGAACCGCAAGCTCGAGCCTTCCGCCCCAAGAGGCCGCCAGGAGGCCCCCAGGAGGCCCCTCAAGAGGCCCCAGGAGACCCCAGACGTCCAAGGACGCCCCCAAGAGGCCCCAAGAAGCCTCCAACATGCGTCCCAAGAGGGCCCCTAGACGCAAACATTGGCCCATTCCCTTCGTAAAACGTACATTTTCAACAAAGTTGTCTTTTGGGCTTTCCGACGTTACAGGACGGCCCAAGAGGCGCCCAAGACCGCCCCAAGACGGCCCAAGAAGCTTCCAAGAGGGCCCCAGGACAGCCCAATAGGGCCCCAAGACGGCCCAAGAGGCGCCCAAGATGGCCCAAGAGGGCCCCAAGACGGGCCCAAGAGGGGGCCCAGAGGGGGACCACGAACCGCAAGCTCGAGCCTTCCGCCCCGAGAGGCCGCCAGGAGGCCCCCAGGAGGCTCCTCAAGAGGCCCCAGGAGACCCCAGACGTCCAAGGACGCCCCCAAGACGCCCCAAGAAGCCTCCAACATGCGTCCCAAGAGGGCCCCCAGACGCAAAAGTTGGCCCATTCCATTTGTAAAACGTACATGTTCAACAAAGTTGTCTTTTGGGCTTTCCGACGTTACAGGACGGCCCAAGAGGCGCCCAAGACCGCCCCAAGACGGCCCAAGAAGCTTCCAAGAGGGCCCCAGGACAGCCCAAGAGGGCCCCAAGACGGCCCAAGAGGCGCCCAAGATGGCCCAAGAGGGCCCCAAGACGGGCCCAAGAGGGGGCCCAGAGGGGGACCACGAACCGCAAGCTCGAGCCTTCCGCCCCCGTCCAAGATCGTTCGCAGGCGGCTTCGGAACGCGCTCCGATGGCTCCAGATGCCTTCCAAGACGCCTGTCATGACACCAAGAAGGTCCCAGAAGCCTCCAAGACGCTCCGAGAGGCAGCCCAAGAGAGGCCCAAGAAGCAAAAATCGTGCCACTCCTATTGGAAAACGTATATGTTTCGCATGTTCGCCTCTTGGGCTTTCACCGCGTCCAAGACGGACCAAGAGGCGCCCAAGACCGCCCCAAGAGGGCCCCAGGACAGCCCAAGAGGGCCCCAAGACGGCCCAAGAGGCGCCCAAGATGGCCCAAGAGGGCCCCAAGACGGGCCCAAGAGGGGGCCCAGAGGGGGACCACGAACCGCAAGCTCGAGCCTTCCGCCCCAAGAGGCCGCCAGGAGGCCCCAAGGAGGCCCCTCAAGAGGCCCCAGGAGACCCCCAAGAGGCCCAAAGGAGGCCCCGAGAAGCCCCAAATCGGCCCACAAAATGCTTCGAACCTGCTTCCAGGAGGCCCCCGACAGGTTCAGAGGCTTTCGAGAAGCTACGTCAAACTCCCAGCGAGCGGCCGGACGAGGCCCCCCACAAAATCACAAGAGGGTTCCAGTCTTTGTATCCTTCAGCGCTCTCTGGCCTTCTTCCCCCTGCCCCCTTCCCTGCGACTTTCGTTGACTCAAGCTCGCCTCCTAGCTAGAACCTAAGCGCGCGCGAAGCGCGCGCGTGGTTCTAGTATGAATATATTGCCGCGCAGTGCACAAAAAAGCGCAGAGAGGATGTCGGCGGAAGACAGGGACTGCAGGCAGCTCTTCTAGTCGGAGCCGGCCCATGCGCAGATTGCATTGGCACACGCGCGCGCAGCAGTATCGTATTTGTAAAATGACGCATTTTCTTCCACTACATGCCCGGATGTATCTCATCGTGTTCGTCGTCGTCAAACTCCTTTCCTCGTCTTCCCTCTTCGTCTCGAGGGGCCTCTTCAGAGCATTTTCGGGGACCTCCCAGGGCCTAGTGGGGACCCCTTGCGCCGTCTTAGGGCGCTCGTTCGTCTTGGGGGGCTTCTTTGGGCCGTCTCGGGGCCCTCGTATGGCCCAAAGGGTCGTTTCGGTCTCTTGGACCATCTTGGCACATCAGTGGGCCGTAGTGGAGGCCTCTTGGGCACATCGTATGGCCTATTGGCCCGTATTGCGGCCCTCTTGGAGCCCCTTTGGGCCGTCTTGGGGCAATCTTGTGTCGTCTTTGTCTGACGGGGCCCGACAAGATGAGACTCAGAAACTATGCTAACCACATACGCATTTTGGGCATCAATGTGTTTGCCTCTTCGGGCCCTCCTGGGGGCCTTCTTGAAGCCGTCTTGTGAGCCTCGCGGGTTGTCGCGAGACAATATCGGACGGATTGAGGCCATCCTTGGCCGCCTTTGAAGCATCTTGTGCAATGTTGTAGGTCTCGGTGGGACTTCCTCGGCCGTCTTGCAAGCGCCAGATAGCCCTGGAGAGCGCCGAAGGCCCAGAGAGCCCCGGGAGGGCCAGGTGTGTACCCAAGTAAACGCTAGGCGCTAGAAGAGGGGGAGCGCAACCTCAGAAGATAGATCAGCCCTGTCAGACAGCATTTGGCAGTCTATGCCACGACTCAACGTGCCAGGGGGCACTGTTTTTTTTTATTTTGGCAATATGAAGGCCCGTTGCACAGCCCTCCTGCATGCCAAGCGCGCCCATCAACTACTTCTCGACGCGTTCGCGCATTATGTGCCAGTCCATCCAGACGATTCCCAGGCGAGTTGTCATGATAATAGAAGTGGGGCGCATGATTAACACATAGAGTGCGGCACCAGTTCAAAAAAGAGGAAGCAGATCAGGCAGGCTTGTACAGCATGTCTGAGCACCGTTTATCATATTTCAGCGCGGTATCGGTGTCTTCCCAGAAGGGCCATTTTGGGCATCGCGCCGAGCCTCTTGCAAAAATGTGGGCGCATGGTTCGGGACATATTGAATTTGTAGTGAGAGCTGTGGGGGCATGCGTGGAACCATGTTAGAGGCAATCGACCAGAAAAGGGAGGTGTGATTACCATTTCGGGGCGGGAGATACCTCCACGGATCTCCCGTAGGACTGTCTTGCGTTGCTTTAGGCTATCTCTCGGCTCCTCTTAAGGCTCTGTCGGGTCCCCCCGACGAGTTTCTTGCGCAAGTTCGGGGGCAGATTGGGGCATTGGGGCCACCAGGGGCAATCGGAAGCCGAAAAGGCGAGCAGACAAACATGATCGATTGACCTGCTGCTGACTGGTGAAGTTGACCTTTTGGTGGACGTCTTTGGGAGATGCATGACGCAATCGGGCCAGCTTGAGGCCTTCGAGGGGGACATTGACGCTATTTTGCGCCAGATTGCCCAGGCTGTCTGGGTTCAGTGTAGAGCAAGGTTGGACAAGATCGGAAGGTTCATCACTATCGCGACCGCGAGGGGGCAGACCTCCATGAGGAAGAACATGTTTTACTATGGGCGAGCTAGACTGTCTACTTCCAAGGGGCCTTGTGGGATTACAGATGCTTGTAAACCACGCAGCCAGACTTAGCTTACAAGTTCAACACTGCGTAGGCCGCCCTGTGTTCGCTTCTTGTTTTTTACACCCAGAAAAAAGCCGCAGCGGGCATCCACTGGGAAGGTTGCACGCGAGTCTCCCGTCTGAAGGCGCATTCCTTGTAGTCCTCCTCCACCTCAACCTCTTCCTCCTCTTGAGCATCAAGACGTTCCTGTTGGCAAGTGGGTTGCCCCACTTGCCAAACATGATGGCTGGGAACTCCGCCTCCGACTTCTTCTCCTTCCAGGGAGGTCTTGAGTCCCTTTGTGGGCTCCCCTGGAGCTCTCGTGCAAATATGTAGCAATGTTGGCGCCATCGTGGGCACTGTCGTGGAGGTGCGCTCGAGGGGCCTTCTTGCGGAACCATTCGGGCACGAGCGGAATTGAAATGATCTGGGAACCATATTGTGAAGCATGAGGGGCGTTAAGGAGGCGCCTGGTGGCACCATGATGTTTTGGAAGCAAGAATGTCCAAAGCACGTTTGGATATCGTCTCGGTTCCCTCACGCTTGCTTCTCGGGGACCTCCTTGTGAGGCCCTGGGGCCATTCGAGTCATGCTTGCTTATCGCGAGGCAGATTGGAATAACTTTAGAGGAAGTATTGGGCAATGCTGGAAGCAGGCGTGGGTTACCTCGGTTAATATCGAAACCTGTTGCACAGCTTGGCATGCTTGCCAGCTTGCTAGCACACGCCACCTTGCCAGACACGCCTTGCTAGCTCAAGACGGCGCCAACCGCCCTAATCAAAGAGAGGTCCACCATGCTGGCCCAGTGAATGATAATCACAGCAAGTAGCCGGGCGGAATCCCGCATGCAAAATGCATATCAGGGAGGGGAGGGGGGCACTGTTGGCCAAGGGCTTCGACACGCGCGCGGCCGAATTCTTCTGACTCTCTTTCCCGATACAGTACGAGCCCCGTCGTCGTCATCCTCCCCACCCTCCTCTCATGATCATCCGCCTCTTCCCCCGTGGTTTTCCATTTGAATATTCGCGCGCATGGCCGCCGCGCAGCGCTTGCAGCAGCTTCCTGTCAGAGCTGTTCAGGGCATTCAGGGCGCGGTGAAGGAGTCGCAGCTCCGTTTCCAGGCTTGCCCCTGGACGTGACCCGTGCGCACTGTCCAGACTTCTTTGTTCAGACAATGTGCCATATGTTAGAAGGGATGCAGGGGGGGGCGTTATGCAGCGGGGTGTCCTGACGGAAGGGGGCGGCCTGGTCCCGTTGGCGCACCCACTCCCGCTCCAGGCGACCTCATTCTCTTTTTCCCCCGCAGCATTTTTCTATCAGAGCGTCAATTCGTTATCTCTCTGGCTCCAGCCTGGTCGGAAGGAGCACAGCCGCGTGCCCACGCGCTGTCATCCCACGCCGTGGCTTTCGCTAGAACAGAACAGGAGTAGAAGGCGCAACTCGGCACGGACGTGCTAGGAGGCGGGGGCAGTCAGGTGGAAGCGGGTGGTCCGATTGAGTACGAGCGTCTTGTTTACATTCGAGCCCCATAATTTAGGAGCCAGGCTAGGACATACACTTAACTCGGAACGTGCTTGAAATTCGAACTCGATGTTCAAGTTGTTGGGGGACCAGGCGGGCTAGAGCGACAACCCTGAAACTGTACAGGAGTGACCACACAAGCGTGGACATCCGACGCAGCAGCCGAAAGCGGACACGGACCAGCGGCCCGAGAGGTGGGGGCACCTTCCGACAGATGTCCCGACAGCGTGATACCCTCGGTCGAGGGACCCTCCCCACGAATGGTGGTGCCTGACCAAGCCTAAACTCGTCGGGGAAGGGCCCTGGAACAAAAAAGTAAAACACACGTTGAGACCCCAAGGGCCATGTCCAGCCCGAGGGCGGGCAGGGCGGGAGCCGAAACTATGGCCAAGGAATATGCAGGGGTGCCATAAGGATGGAGGCGGCTCCTTTAGGCGAAAACGGCACTCGTGCAAAAGTATGTTATACAACGCGTATTTACATTTGAACCCCATAACCTAGGAGCCAGGCTAGGACGTACATTAATTCGGAGCGTGCCTGAAACCCTAATTCGATGTTCAAGCTGTTGGGGGAGGGGGCAGGCGGGGTAGAGCGACAACCCTGAAACTGTGCAAGAGTGACCACACAAGCGTGGACATCCGACGTAGCAGCCGAAAGCGGACACGGACCAGCGGCCCGAGAGATGGGGGGCACCTTCCGACAGATATCCAGACAGCGTGATACCCTCGATCGAAGAACCCTCCCCACGAATACAATGGTTCCTGACCGAGCCTAAACTCGTCGGGAAGTGCCGCGAAAACAAGTACAACACACGCTGTGACCCAGCCCCTTGTTTCCTTGACTGGCACTTGTGCCCTGACCAGCTCAGACCAGAGCCCGGCACACAGTCTCGGGAGGGAGGGTCGGGGAAATTGGTGTGTCGTTTTAAACCCCTCTAAATCCGTAAGGGCTTCGCACGCATGCCGCCAGCCCTCCTCTCTTAGAGTGAGACGTGCCAGAGCTGTTTGGATGTCTGGACGGCGACGTGAAGCAAAGTCGGGACTTCACGCGAAGGACAATGTTTGGTTTGTGCTTGCATTTTTCGGTTATTCCGGGGGTTCTCTGTGGTTTTTCGTCCACTCAGTGGCTGAGTTCTGCAGGGTTCTATTGGGGGCCCCTTCTGTTCAGTGCATGGGGAAATGCTGTCGTTTTTGGGGAATTATGGTTTTGGGTTTGTTTTATCAATTAAGGGAAATGCTGTCGTTTTTGGAAGTTATGGTTTTTGGACGGACTGCTGGCGGTCTGCTTAATCAAGGTACTTCCAGGAGGCTGCGCGACGCTTGTGGCTACGTCAAATCTTTTGACCTTGTTACCTGACTCCAGAGCGCCATCGATACGCGGACTGAAATTTGTTGGGCCCGAGAAGATGGCAGAGGTCGACGAACCCAACGCGAAGATGGCGTTGGAATCCACTGCCCCTGTGTTATGAGGCCGTTGTATAGGAGAGGGAACACAGGACAGAGTGTTTACACAGCTTTGATGAATTAGTGAATTCAGCATGGGTCGGGCTTGAAGTGCCTCGAAGAAAGCGCGCGCACCCGAATCGCAGACATATGGCTATATACGGACCCGGGACACTTTGCTTCCCGTCGTCGTCCTCGCCCTTGCTCCGTTCCCCTTCCTTTCTTCCCTCCCCTGGATGGTGTCGGAAGCGTCCGCGGCTCGGGCGGGGGAGCGCCCCTTCCCACCTCCCTTATTATTCCTCGTTCCTCTTTGCCTCCCTGCTCCACCGTCCGTCGTCCTACCTCGTCCACCCTCCTTGTTCGAAAAGTGAAGTCCCTGGTGCCGCGTGCCCGCGTCAGCGGTAAATGCTTTTCCGCATTATTCGCCATCTGATGGCGAATAATGCGAAGACGACGAGATATCGACCTTGCCGGTGGAGGAGTACAACTACAAGGATGAGCGATTCTACGGCGATGGGGGCGAGCTTCAGGACGGGGGTGAAGAGTCCGGAGCGCCCCACATGGACGATGCGATGCACACTTGCCCGATGGAGAGGAGTGGCGCGCAGAGGACTATCCAGAGACCTGGCCCTGTTGCAGTTGTGTTTCAGCTCTGTGCGCTTGCAGTGTGCTCCGACGGCGGTAACTGCGGCGTCTTCCTTGGTTGGAGTTCGTTTTGTTCCTAAGCGGCTTGCATGGCGCAGCCAACGCAGGACAGCGACAAGGACCTGGACATGCCAATGCCAATTGAGGTGGAAGTTCAACTTGCGATAACCTTTTCCAGAAGGAGAGCCCTCTTTCCCCCAAGATCGAGGAGACCAAAGAGTGGGCGACCAAGAAGCTGAAGACGCGCTAGGATCTGGAGATCGCGCGGCATGACGGTGGGTCCACGCAGGAGGCCCCGATCTACCTGGATGAGACCGCGCTTCTGAGGCAGCGGCCGATCACAATGGAGAACGAACGCATCAAGGGCGGGAAGCACGAGGGCGAGACGTTCAAGGATATCTACGACAAGGGCCACGTGTTTGAGCAGATGTTTGAAGCTGGACGCCGACGAGAGCCGCAGCTACGACAACCTGCACCCGGCGATAAAGACGCACGCGGCAGATCACATCATCCAGGCAGCTACGACGAAAAGCCTGGATCCGCTACCAAGGAAGTACCGACCACAACGGTGGCGATTTGATGGGAACTACCCGCGGGAAGCTCAGACAAATGTTTCGTTCGATTTATTGGTGTTGATCGGCCCCCCGAGCCTGCAAGCAGAAGATCAGCATGCGCGATGTTTGCTTGCTGTTGAACTGCGACGCGCTGTTTAGCGGCGCTTCCCTTTACTCTGCCGCGCGCAGATTTAGAACATATGTTTTTTTGTGCAGGGGCGGTGACAGGATGTGCATCGCTCTGCTGCTGCTGCTGCTGCTGCTGCTGCTGCTGCTGCTGCTGCTGCTGCTGCTGCTGCTGCTGCTCTCTCTCTCTCTCTCTCTCTCTCTCTCTCTGTCTCTCTCTCTCTCTCTCTCTCTCTCTCTCTCTCTCTCTCTCTCTCTCTCTCTCTCTCTCTCTCCTTCTCTCTCTCTCTCTCTCTCTCTCTCTCTCTCTCTCTCTCTCTCTCTCTCTCTCTCTCTCTCTCTCTCTCTCTCTCTCTCTCTCTCTCTCTCTCTCTCTCTCTCTCTCTCTCTCTCTCTCTTCTTTTCTCTCTCTCTCTCTCTCTCTCTCTCTCTCTCTCTCTCTCTCTCTCTCTCTCTCTCTCTCTCTCTCTCGCTCGCGCATAGAGAGGAGTCACCAAGTATTTTCCGTTCTTGCATCAAGCAGGGTTGGTTGGGCATTGCGATGACCGCTTGCAACGAGGGCGGGCAGAGGCGCGGATCGGGGCCCAGGCGCGACCGACGCGAGCGCCAATGATTCTGGCGAGCGGCTAACTGGCGCGGCCTTCGTCGACGAGCAAAGCCGCGAAGTCACGGCCGCGAGCGCGTTGGCGCGCCAATATTGCAGCCAGCCCGCCGCGATCAGCGCGCGCTCGCATTGGGCGGCGGCCTCGCGACGCAGCCCAACCGCGGCGGCTCGCAGAGGGGGTCGCCGCTGATAGCGATTGACAAGAGCGGCAGCGCGAAGCGTTGGTGGACTGGCGAGGGCCATCGCCCTCAGGGAGCAGCGCCAGTTTCGGGCGCAGCTGGCGCGGCGGCGGCGGCGGAGAGCAGCTTGGGCCGCACCCGCCAGCGACGGGGCCGCCGGCCCAGATGACGCGTTGCCCCGTCGCTCCGAGGCTGCTCGGGCGAGCGCGAGGTTTGGGCGCGGCCGATCCTGGGCCGCCGCGACGCGCGCCGTCGCGGCGCTGCCCGCGCGACCAGAGGACGCACGAAGGCCCGGCGCCAGCTAGGGCGCCATCGACGGTTCCGAGAGGCAGTTTCGCTACTGGAGAGAAGGCCGAAGCGCGAGGTCGAGGAGGGGCAATCATCAGAAGGCGGAGGCGGCCGCGGAGGAGCGGCAAGGACGGCCGTTGACCCTGTCGACCCTGCGACCGACGCCCTTGGAGGCCCGGCCCAGCGCCGGTCAGGCAGCGCGAGCCCCCCGTTTGCATCTTCGGCATCGTCCGCGCCGCTGCGCGCCACGCGCAGTGCTTGACTTCCAAGGGGGGCAAAGTTGCTGCTCCGCGTGGGCTGCCGCGTCTGAAGCGGCGACGGCGAGGACTCACGCGACGCGCCCGACGGGGTCGAGGCCGCCGCAGATTACGATGAACGCCGACGCAGATTGCGACGAACGCCGGCAGCCTCGCGGCGGAGGTCAAGCGCGCGAAAGCCCGCGCCAGAGCGGCGGGGCCGCGGCAGGTCTCAGACACGCAGGGCATCGTGATCGGCCCCGCCCGCGTCTCGCGGCGGCCGTCCGTCGGGCGCGCTGCGCCCCGGATTGAAGCGAGACGCCGGTCGCTACGCTGAGACGCGACGGGCAACAAGTACGCGGGGCGATGGTGGAGTTCCAAGCCCTGCCCCCCCCGCGCATTCATAGTTTCGCCGGCCGCGCGGAAGGAAGCCGGCGGCGCGCGAGGCCAGGGGCGGCGCCCCGCGGATGCGACGAGTAGGTCGCGGGCACCAGCGCCCGGGGGGTCGGGGTCGCTCTGGCGAGGA